CGACCATTCATCCTCCTATCACCCACACATCCACCCATCCATCTACCCGACCATTCATCCTCCTATCACCCACACATCCACCCATCCATCTACCCAACCATCCATCCACCCATGCATCTACCCACCACCCATCCATCTACCCAACCATTCATCCTCCTACCATCTATACATCCATTCATCTACCCAACCATCCATCCACCCACTCATCCACCTACCTACCCATCCATCCATCTACCCATTTGTCATTTATCCATTCATCTATCTGTCCATCCATCTATTCATCTAGTCTTCATTGAGTGCCTGCTGTGTGCTCAGCCCTCCACCTACCTGTGTCCTGGACTCGCACCGTGCCCCAAAGGCTGGCCAGGTGAACAGCTGCAGGAGTGTGGATGTCCTGGGGCCATTGTAACAGTGCCACATACTGGGTGGCTGGAAATCATAAGAACTTATCATCTTAAAACTAAGAGACCCCTAAACCAAATGGCCATCAGAGTAAATTCTGACTCCGTGTATAAGACAACTGCCCTCCCCCACCCCACCCCAGGGGGTTTCCAAAACTCACTTTATGAGAGTAAAAAGCCTCATCTCTCCTGTTCTAGAGGCTACAGATCTGGGATCAAGGTGTTGGTTTGACCGCACTCCCTCCACGGGCTCAAGGGAAGGGTCCTTCCTGTTTCTTCTTTGCCCTGTGTCCCCTTGTGTCTCTTAAGGACCCTGGTCCTTCATTAGGAGTCCTGGTGGCTTAGTGTTTAAGTGTTGGGCTGCTCATTGCAAGGTTGAACAGCTTGACACCCCCAGTCCCCACTCAGAAAGGTGGGCTTTCTATGCCCACAAGAGTTACTCTCACCGAAGCCCACAGGGACAGTTCTGCCCTGCCCTCTGCCATCGCTAGGAGCTGGCATAGGCTCGATGGCATGAGTTTTTGGTTTGGTCGTTGGATGAGGCCCCAGCCTACAGCCGATGGCATTTTCAAAGTCCCTGTTTCTGCAGAGGGCCTTGCTCCCAGGACTGGGGATCAGGACTTGAACCAAACTTTTTGGGGACATGATACATGACAGCAGGGAAGTGTGGCTTGGTGAGGAATACGGCTTCCTCAGGAGAGTCCCCTGCTGTTTTTAGCCACCCAGTCTAAGATCTTTGTCATGGCGGTTCCAGGACACTCAGGTGACAGCTACTTTGTGCAGGGCCACAACGGGGACATGCATAGGCCACCGCAGCATTGCTCCACTGCCGACAGCAGCCAGGAGTCCCTGTCACGGGCACGCTCCCCCTGAGTGGTTAGGTGCGCCCAAGGTGGTTTGACAACAGAAGGAAGCAGGGCTTGGCCCTGCACCAGCCTCAGGACGGTGGTCACGTGAGCCCCTGGTGGCAGCCCCTGTGTCAACCCATCCATGGAGGGCTGTCCTCTTTCTTGCTGCCCCTCCACTTCACCAAGCACGATGTCCCCCTTCAGGACCAGCCCCTCCTGATGACACTGTTCAAAGAACCGGAGAAGCCTCCGCTTCCGGCTTCTAAGGCGCATCTGGCTGTTTTTCTCCCACACAAACGTCTTCATCTTCTCGGCGGCCCGAGGAGCCTCCTGTTCAACGTTTGCCACCCACACTATTACGCGATGCACCCATCCTGCGGCCATCTTTATCCGCCGTTCAGCTGTTGCCTACGATGTGAGGAACGATACCATGGGGTGCATAAGGCCTGACCTGATGAGGCTGGGAAGCCACCTCACCCTGAAGTTCCCCACCCCTAAATCCTTACCCCACTCCCCATGGGGGATTACTGACAAACAGCTCAGCAGCACCCCACCACCACTCCTCAGAACCAGAGCAGATCTGAGGGACCACCATCTACCGGGAGACGTGATGGCTCTGGGGCTCGGTGGGGGTGCCTGGGTGGGGTCCCAGACAGAAGATCTGAATTAGGAGTGAGCTGAATTCATGTTAACAGGTTGGGCTGCTCTCCTCCGCAAGGTTGGCAGTTCAACACCACCCGCAGGTCCGGGGAGAAAGATTGAGGCTTCCTGCTTCCATAAAGAGTGACAGTCTTGGAAACCCACGGGGGACAGTGCTACCCTGTCCAGTAGGGTGGCCGTGCATGGGAATAGACTCAGTGCCAGTATTTTTGGCATCCGTGATCACATGCCAATGTGGGTCCCAGACGGAGACCACTGGCCCACCGAACCGAGTGCCCAGGAGGGGACCGCAGCGGGAGGGCACGGGGTGTGGTCCACTGGGGACTCCCGACGGTCCCCACAGCTTCTCTGTGTGAGTCTCTTCTGGAATAAAGGGCTTCTTTTTGAAACATTGTGGTTGTTATCAAAATCACAAAAGCAAAACACAGCAGCCCTGACCCCAGGGCTCCCTGGGGCTCCTGTCCCCGGATCCCCCAGCCTTGCAGGCTCCCCAGAATCCCCTTGAGAGCTCCTCCCAGCCAGGTGGGCCCCAGAGGAGGTGGTGCCGCGACCTGCTTCTCCCCAACCCCCCAACCCCACCCCCACGACACGAAGGGGCTCACCTGCGGGGGAAGGGCGCCTCCCAACCCAGGTGACTTGGAACCCTACTCACCCGCAGGTGACTCCCCATCCCAGGTGACACTCTAGCTCCACGGGGTGAGGGGGGTGGGGGAGGCGGGGACAGAGGTGCCCCCGCCCAGGTGCCGAGGGCCCCTCCCCGTCCGGCTCCAGAAGGCGCGGCTGGAGCCGGTGGCCGCATCACCTGGAGCTCAGCACAGTGAGTCTGGGGTCTACAGCTGGCTTGGCTTTCTCTCTGGGAAACTGGGAAACGGGGGTGGGGGTGGGGGGACAAGGGGTGCGGGGAGATGCAGCCGCTTGGGAAGCCCAGCGGGGGTGTGTGCACCGGGCTGTTTAGACGGGATTTAGGTCTGTGTGGACCAGATTTTAGACGGGCTTGGGGCCGTGTGGACCTAGTTGGAGCTGTGGGGATGGGATTAGGGATAACACGCAGAGTGAACTGTGTAGATGGAGTTAGGGAAGTGTAGACACCTCAAGGGTGGGGTGGTCAAGGCCCAGGCAGAGAGTGGGGGTGTGGGGAGCCCCCAAAGGCCTCCTGCCCCCACCACAGTCTCCCTGCTGCTCCTGGACAGGACTTTTACTCAAACCAAGATTGATCGTTGGGTCTGGACCCCAGAGTTATCTGCTGAGCGGTAGAAATGGGGTTCACAGACTCCAGGAAGGTGGTCAAGTCTGCTGGTCAGGGATTTGGGCGGGCGCAGGGGCAGGGAGGGAGGGGAGGTCAGAATTTCAGCAGGGAGTGGTCAGAAGACCTGGGCCTGCAGGTGGGGTACTCCTTGTCACCATGTTTATGACCAGTTATTCCCGTGGCCCAGGGGGCCGATGAAGGGTGGCCTGAGGGGTCATGCTCTGAGCGTCTTGCAGCCGGGAAACTCCCACCCCCCCACCATTTCTCTAGGGATCACACACACCCCAGGCCCCACAGAGGGCAGTGTGGGCCCCTTGGCCTCCAGGGGCTGCAAAGCCCAATAGTTCTGGAAAGATTTTAACATCAAAAAGCCAACCTGATGTCTCCAGCCCTTTTTAAGACAGAAAAGTCCAGTTGCCCACCAGTCGGCTCAGACTAGGGTCACCCCGTGTGCACCCTGTAGGGATGATTCGTCAGAAGTAGGCAGCCAGGCCTTTCCTCTGAGCCGCCTCGAGGCAGACTTCAACGGCCAGCCTACGGGTGAGCCGCCCCACGCAGGGTCACTGTTGGCACCACCCAGGGGATTCTGCTGGTGGCCACCTCTGTCCGCATAGCCACAGTCCAGTCTGGTCGCCGGCTTCCCAGCCTGAGGGCCGTTCTAGGGACACCTCAGCTTTCAGACCGGCCTTGCAGAACTCCGGCCCTGGCTGTGGTCTGCTGGAATCCGTTTTGTCTTTGTGCATTTAAAAATGACGGACGTTAGGATGCAGCGGCCACCAGCCGTTCTGCAGGAGAAGCGTGGGAGGGGGGGCTTTCTTCCCCCGTAAAGAGTCACAGCGTTGGAAACCCACAGGGGCAGTGCCACCCTAACTGCTCACTAGGAGTCGGGATCGACTCGATGGCAGGGGGTCGGCTTGGGTGCTGGAGGTGGGGATAGGTTGCCCTGGAAGTGCCGATGCTTCAGTGCCCTCCACTAACTGGAGGCTGGAAGGGCAAGTCCGCCAGAGGCGCTTCGGAAGAAAGGCCGGGCAATCGAGGGGCTTCAGAACCTCGGTGGGCAAATGGAGTCCAAGAATCATGGAATTCCCCACGAGCTTTTCAAGCCCTTGTGGACTTCCAGGAAAAACCAGCCCTCAGGACCCGGTGGGGGGAGATGCATATGGGCCTCCTCATCAGACACGATCATCAACTGGGCTGCATGTTACAGGGGGACCGGTTTAGTTCAGATGTAGTACAGTTCCCAGCGCCACCCCCACCCCACCCTAGACTAACATCTGTGGCACCCACCCCCCAGTCCGCCTGTGACTCACCTCTAACCGCCCCCAAGACTAACACCTTTGTACCCCCCAGCCTCACCCAGGGCTAACATCCGTGTATCTTCCCCCAGGCCCTCCTGAGACTAACATCTGTGACCATGTCCCAGTCCCCCTCCAATCTCTGACCCTCCTCCAGTCCCCCCTCACATCTGTGTACCCTCCCCCAAGCGCCCCCCCCCCAAGACCTGTGGCCCTCCCCCAAGCTCTCTGTCAGCTTCCATAGGCCCAGGTCAAAACCACTGGGTGAACAATGAGTTCCACTACAAAACTCCCAGTACCCTTCATCCCCTTATCACCCCCTTTTCCCCACGGAGGCCCCCTTTTGCCCCAGGATGCAGCCTGGGGCTCCGTTGTTCTGATTACCTAAATGATGTCACCATAATGTGTGGGGGGCAGGGGGTGCGGGGCGGGCGTGGGCAGCCCTGATCATGACACCATGGATTACACGCAGAGAGGGAGGTTTTGGGGGTTCGAACCCACCCCGAGGTGCCTCGGAGGAGAGACCTCTGCTCCTGAGTTCCGACCTGGC